AACACAATGAGAAAAACTATGATTGTTTTTATCTTCAAATCCTTTATCAATGCATTGATGATATTTTTCTATTGCATTCATAAAAAATTTTTTTCCCACATCGTGGTAATATTAAATTTCATATGGATTTTATAATTAAAGAAATAGAAAATCAGAATAAAAATAAAGGTGATTTTAATGATGAAAATATTGATTTTCACGGAAAGTACTTTGAACGAATCAAATAATTTATTGTTTTACTCATTCCAGTATCAACTGTTGACACCCCAAATAAACTTATAGATGATGATGGTAACATAATAGTAATATCAATCCAAGTACAGTTTCTTGCTGATTTAACTATATTATATCGCAATAGATTTAGAGATACATCCTCTTCAACTGAAGTTATTTGATTAATACCTATTATTCATAATGAATTACTAATAAGAGTACTGATCGTACTTGAGCCTGAAAGTGTCATAGATTCAAGAAGTTCTTAAAAGATATCAAATAATACTATAAATCATACATTGGGTTGCCCATGAGGATTTTCTCGTATTGGAAATAAAGTTGTTTTAGGACGAGCTTGTAATATATCAAATTTTCCTTTACTAAAAATCCATTCTACACCTTTTGTTTGATAATTATAATTTGTTTGTATTTGTTGAGGAAACACTCGCACAAAACGTCTATATAAAAATCGACTCTGGAGATCCTTGTTGTCAGATTTGCCCAGTTTCATCGTCCTTCTGGACGTCCACTGTGAAATAAAACCTTTCAAGAAAAAGACTCTCTGTTTAAATACACTACTTCGTTTGTTTTATTAAATGAAAGTTTATCAAATAAATAAATGGTTCGAAAAAGAGATGATGGGTGTGCGTGTTGTGTTTCACATAAGTCTTCTCCTTATCCAAACCCTCAACCACACACCCTATTTGTGATAATTTAATAAAGTCTTTCCTAAGTGTGTGTCCATCATTTGAAACATTCATTGTAATCATTTGTAATTATTATTCTTCTTGAATAGTCTTACTTTGGAAGCAAGCATTTAAATCAAATAAAACGTCTTTGTTACTAGAATATTCACTAAATTTAGCAAACATCACCAAACCTAATATTTTTATAAATTGATTTAATATCACGTTGAAAATGAAAAAGAATAGCAATGATACCATTTATCTTTGTTATTTTTCTTGTAAAAGAAAGAGTGGGTTAGGTTCGATGGAATATAATCACATTATCAACCCATCTGCACCCACACCCACACCCACACCCTCGCATCACCATTAATATCTGATCGAGCAAGTATACTGTAGGCATGACTAAATCTTTAAAACGAATAAAAATGAATCATACTACAATAAATTAGATTTTGTTGTTTTTTTTAAATGTTGTACACTAACAAGACATGTGAAGTCTTCACTAACCACGATAACAAAACCTAAAAACAAATTAACATATCCACAGTAAACAACCAAAATAGGATGTGGACGAAGAGAATATTATCATCCACACCCAAACCCTGACCAATTTTTCACTTCTCAAGACTTTAGACATCGTCGATCGACTTTCACTTTTTGAGTCGACAAGAACGTTGAACAAAAAATTGATTAGGCCAGATACGTGAGAGGAAAGAAGAAGAAGAGACTCAGAAGTGGTAGGATGATCATAAATAGTCTGAATTACTCAACATTTTGATCAGTTAAATGACAAATAGATCATCTTGAGTGTCATCAGTATGAATGATGCTGAGTTTATCTTGGTTGTAGTCAAGGGCAAAACGGCGTAGTTCGAAATGCAGATGAATTCTAAGTTGAAAAAGCATATCTATTGATTGACATTTGATTCTTTTTGATAATAGCTAGAGGTATCTCTCACGAGAAAAAACAAGAAAAAGGTATTGAAAGATGAGCGTTTCTTTAATTGCATGAGATAAAAAAACAAAGAATAAAGATAGTGTAGAATGAGATAAAGTATTACCGCTGCTTGTTATTGCAAGTGAAAGAATGCAGATGATTTCTTTTCTTTTTCTTCGTCTGGTAGTGCACCAAGCGAGCGATAGATTTGTTTCTTTTCTCCTGTGCTGTAGGCAACGTACAGACGTATACTATCATCAAACAAACACTCTATTTTCGATCCTACCTTTATCATTGTGATTTTTAATTTTATTCGAGATGCTTTCTGAAGAACTTACTATTCCAAATAACTCTGCTACTCCTTTTGATGATAGCTGGCACAATAATGCAAATGAAGCTACACTACATGATAAAGATAGGAAAGCAATCACAAAATCACAAGGTACATCAGAAGATCTTCAAAATGTTTTCAATCCGAGGACCTACATGCCTGGCTCCTACAAATATTCTCGCCAATACCTACGTGAACGTTTAAGTCGTTCTATACTGCATGAATTTAGTATTGATGAACAGAAAGCAAGAATCGAATTGGCTGCGGCTTACCGACTAGCTGCAAAAAATGGGTGGTTAGAATCTATCTATAATCATATTACTTGTAATGTGGCTGGTCCAAATGACGAACATTACTTATTGATCAACCCTTTGGGTCTGAACTACTGTGAAATTACTGCGTCATCACTGATTAAAATCGATTTTGATGGAAATATGATTCATCCAGGTGTAGTGGGTGACATTATGGGACTGAACAAAGCTGGCATCATAATCCATTCTTGCGTTCATCGAGCTCGTTCAGACGTTCACTGCGTGCTCCATAATCATTACTGGGCTGTAGCCGGGCTGTCGGCAACAAAGAGTGGAATGATCGAACTGATACAGACCGCACATATAGCTGGAGAGATTGCTTATCATGACTATGAGGGCATTGTTAGATCGAACGATGAACAACAACGGCTTGTGCGTGATTTGGGAGACAAGAACATAATGATTTTGCGTAACCATGGCTTGCTCACTTGTGGACCATCTGTTGGTGCTGCGTACTACCATGCGTACACCCTATGCGCTGCTGCAGAAATGCAATCGCATGCATGCTCAATGGCCTTTGCCAAGGATGATTTAATCATACCGGAAGATCGACTTGTCCAGCTAAGCATGGATAGAGCTAAGAGTCTCAATCGACATTCATACGGTACTTTAGAATTTGCTGCTGCTATGCGTGAGCTTGACTATGATCAAGATCATTCTGCTTATCCGGACTACCGAAATTGAATAATCATGTCATTCTTTTTTGGTTGAATATTGATTACATTTTCCATTCTCTCACAATAATAAAAGCCAATAGGATTAGTACCACTATTGGATGGGTATGGGTGTGGATCTTCTTTCACAGCATATGCACATTCACATCTGAACCCACCTCAACACCGATAGCCACACCCCACACTTACATCTATGCTCACATCCATCCACCCACATTAATACCGACACTCACGCGTTACTAACAGCCATACTCATATCTTAAATAAACGGACAAATGTGAAATTTGTTGAAGTTGTTCGAAAAAACCTTGTTTAACGTCTAGAAACAGTGACATTGACAGAAAAGATATTTTCCATGACATATTCATGACAGATTCCTTAGGAAAACTAATATTCATGTCAAGTTTTCATCAATTGCTATGATGATATTCGCCTAATGGAAAAGAGATCGACTTTATAAAATGATAATAAACCTTTCTCTAAGCATTATTTGATCAGAAAATGAATTAGACAGATATTTTTAATTGGATACTCATTTTTTTCGTTTAGATAGAGAATAGTCTACAATGCATAAATATTCAGATACACACGGAAGTCTACTGTATTCGAACGGAAAATTCTAGAAGCCTTACTCTTACAGTCACAAATAGAGCAAAGTATAGAGTGTAATGTTTTTAAAAACTATCAAAAATGGATAGTGACCATAAATAAGAAATTTTTTCATATCTTACTAATGTGTTTGTTTTATGACTCTTCAATGCCATAGAAATTTTGAGTAGCTATATAGCTGTGATTAGAAAAAAGTGTAAGTCAAATGGATACAATTCTTTCGAGCTATTGAACTTTGTCATTACTTCAGAATTAGCGGCAAGTGCGACTTTATGTATGATTGTTGTGTCTCCATCCATGAGCTGAATATAATATATTTTTCGAACGTTTTATACACATTCTTGTATGACTTCAAAGTAGATACCGGCATGTCAAGCCGGTCGCATAAGACAATCGGGGTTGCTCTGAAAATTTTCAAAATTCTTATCTAAGAGATAATGAAACTCAATTAACTATTGCAAATAACATCTGAAATATGAATGTTCTTTTTTCCAGATTGAGTCATGTGCGATCATATAAAAAAGCTTTCAACTTCTGATTATCGTTTCCTACATTTTTATGGCCTCTAAAACGGAATCGAATTTTTGAAAAACGGATTTCTGATATACACTAGTCATATTCTCACGATCTCGACAAACTTTTTCTAATTTCAAGATCGTGCTTTAGTGTGAAGAACGGGTGTATGATATGAATCGTGATTAATCCATCGGAAAGAAGAAAAGAGTTATCATGGCAACTAACTGAGTTAAAATCAATAACATGAAAAGGCTTGTCTCACAGGACTCTACTCAAAAAGCTGCAAATTTTGGACATCTTTACAATTCTGTACTCGACATGTTATCAAAACAAATGATTTCGTTCTAGGGCAAGGTCATACCTCTGAAAAGCCGTTTTTTTCGAAAAAAGTGTGGGGGTTACAGTCTAATAGAGAATAGCACCGCAGTTGCGGCATTTACAAAGCCCTAATATGTCCTTTGCCACCGCTGATTTATGAATAATTGTAGTAATAAAAAATATGTTGCTGTTCAGAGATGATGATCATTGTAATAAAAAAGAGATGGAAGGATGAATGAATGGTTTGTTCTTATTTCTTTACTATTTTTGTTTATATTTTTGTTTACGATGATCATTGACAAACTGAAGGAGTAGAGCTACCGCCATCCTTGGTATGAATGTTCATTACACTACAACATCATTCCAGTTGTGTCCTTCTCACACAGAACACGAACTTCTATACGAGACAGAAGACACAGAGAAGAGAGAAGGTTAAATAGAGAACACAGTAAACAAGGATATGATATCGATCATGAGATAAGAGTGGTTCGCTATGTATTGACTGTTTACTCCGACATCATTGAAACAAGATAGAATGCACATAGGTCATGCCCTTATTATTGACACAATCATATTTTTGTGTAAAATACAATTAACAGCTGACAATGTTGATCTCTGCTTATTCTGCATATCCATTCGTGGCAAATCCGTTGGTGGTACACCCACACCACTTGGTTCGTCTTATTTGTAAAATACACTTGGTTTGATATAACGTATTTGAAAGTGAGTAGATGTTCTCATATAGAAAATTAGAATCCAGATCACTGATGATTTTGCGAAAGAGGCACGAATAAATGTAACCATAGGTGGAGTAACATGCTCTTTACCTCTAAATGCTGAGTAGAAAAGTGCAATGGCATATGTTGTTCATGTGCAAAGAAAGCCACAGAGTGTGATTAGAATACCTAAGATGCATAGAAAAATAAAACAGATAAACAAAGATAGCAGATAGTTTTGCTTATTTTTTTGGTCTTGTTGTAATACTACAGTGTGCGACATATTTAATGACAATCATGCTTACTTTTAATAAATTGTCGTTTCATTTCGATTTTTTTTCGACTCAACTCAGCTTTGATATCTTGTTCAATTTTTCGACGCATTCGTTGAAGTTCATCTAATGTAACTATTTTTTATAATCAGAATCAATAACGGTACACAGTACACAAAGATGAACAGACAGAAAGTGAAAGACACACACGACAGACGTCTATCGTATTAGTTCATATAACAAGAGGTTCGAGTATCCTGTTAGAAAAAAAACAGATTAGATGAGCGAAAACAATTTTTTCTTTATCTCGTTCAGTCATTCTAATTGATAGAAAATCGGATAAGAAAAGGTGTGGGTGTAGGGTATAGGTGCTTTCTTCGTATGCACTCACACCCACACCTAGCTACGGTATAGGTTCAGATCTCACAAATCGATTTTGTCGCCTGGCTGTGCACAGTGTTCTCCAGAGGCCGAAATGTTGATTTCTAGTACTCTTCGTAAAAGAGCCATAAAAAAATTAACAGCTCAATAGCTTTCAAAACGGCTTGCGTCAAAGTTCATGAAACTCTGTCCTCTATAAAAGTATCTTAAATTAAGCAAAATATGAAGAACTCGTTTGAGCAGCTTCTCTATGCCATCGGTCATGGCTTACATGAAATGGAGCATATGAACAACTTATATTAATACAATATAAGTTATAATATTTGATCGAATACGTTTCGTATAAATTCTATCGTTGTTGGTCACATTCTATTTCTTTTGTTTCCTGCTATTAGATTTTGCTGTTTTCTGTTGAATCTAGTCTTACATTAGTTCATTTTCCTTGTCTACATTTATTTCTTATATGATGTCAAAAATGTTATTATTTTCTACAAAAAAAAAAAGATTTTTCTGTCTATCTAAAAATCTTTTTTTTTCTTAAGAAAGTAGAGTGTTGTAATGTGTCATTTATATTTATCTAAGTATTCATCTGCCTATGTTTTTCTTATTTTCTCCTCGGATGTAATATGTATATATACATGCGATATTATGTATCGATAGTGATTCTTCAAGTTCAAGAATATAAAGGAACGTGTATGTTCTACACCATCGAACCTATTTTGCTCTTGAAGAAAAGTAGAAGATAATCATATTGTATAATACATCGTTTCCACATGTATCACCTATCTTGTTTTTTTTGTACTTTTGTGATCTATAAAAATCGTCTATTGCTTTATTGTAGACCATTAAAAAGTTAAAAAAAAATAAATCGAATGGAATATGGATTTGCTTGTTAAGTTTCATGTCGCAATTAGGCATATATAGCGATATCTCGAGAAAACATTATCCCTAATAGCAATACAAGAGAAGTTGAATTAATGTTATATAATTGTGTGGCACTGCTGGTCTTTTTATAGGCAACTTGTATGACTCCATTGGCGATGCCACACATATTCTTACCGCGTACCATACGAACATAGCCTTTCTCACCCCAGCCTTCACCTAAAATTGCGAAGAACAATAAAGAGAAACTCACTGTAAGTCGATACTCACCCCAGCTATTTTTGCACAGCCAATAGGGTCTACCTCCTTCAATACCATAACCAACAACTTGCATCTAAAAAGGAATGCACTGAACAAATACATGAAAATAAAGAATCCATTGTTCTTTACCGCATGATTTCCATCTGTTTGTGGACATGTCGGTTCATCGTAAATACCTGAAGAGAAAAGGACAAGTATCAATGAATGTATCAAATACAGTGACGTACCGCCCTTGTAATCTCCGAAGCCCTTGCCAAAGGCGTTCATTACCACCCATAAAGTAGAGTCTTGAATCCAAGTCAACATTGTATTTTCGTCTTTATCTGTTAGTCTCTTGATTTCGTCAAACTATAATTTGTACAAATTCAAAACATTATGACATTTAAGAATTATTTAGGTATTAGAAACAAAAACATTTACAAAAAAGTATCTCATTTTTTTTAAGTTCAACCTGTAGACAGAAACCTTCCCTCGTCTGAAATATGTATACGTCTAAATGGATATATATGTACGCACCGTAGTAAAAGATTTGCATGCGTTCGGTTCGCATTTATTAAGAATTTCTGGATAATCAACCTTTCGGCAAATACCACTTAAGTTCTTCATACATTCAAAAGGATCAGGTGGTACTAGACAACAGTCGTATATTCTTGGAATGCTGCCTTCTATGAGATTGTTGGTATGAATGGCATGAAGACTCTCCACAAGTTCTAGGTAATAATGGTCGAAGAATAAACTTAATTTAATAGTCTCCAGTCACACTTACCAGTAGCCACAAGGGGCCCCAAGATCACTCCAATAGGACCTTCTTCGATCACAGGTGTGATAACACCTTTTGTGCGCCAATCGAGCGATTCAGGTAAGTTTTTTAATTCGATGGAACTTTTGAGTAATGCTGGTCGAGTTTCAAAGTGAATTGTAGGTCCAGATACAAGTTCCTATGTGTCTAACCTTTTATCGGTTATATCTGAAACTGGAAATTACCTCAATACGTCGATCAGTTAAAGAATTGATTGCCACTGTGAATGTTGCATCAGGATGAGTTTGTTGGTATGAACGCATTCGCTTGACATTTTCAATAAATATTTGTTTACGTTCATCTTCTTCTGCCGCTGATGCATACTGTTTGTTGTAGTCACGTTTGAATTTATTCCATTCCGATGACAAATTACTCATAGCCACACCAAATAGAATGAAAAGAAGAACAAGCTAGGACAAAGAAAACAGATACAAAAAATTTATGCATATTAAAATATAAATAGATTACAGTTACTCACCTTCATTTTGGAAGATTGAATACAGTACGAATGTTTCATGAGATAGCAGCAGTTAAAATACAAAAGAAGTGCATGCAATAAATGACGAAGTTAAATATCTAATGTTGATACAGCAGAAGCATCTTTGTGAGTTGATACGTACTCAACAATGTTCTTTCCTTATCTTTATAACAAAAAAGAGAAGAGTGTCGAAAAATATCTGCATCAATATCTGCCTCCTCTCCATAGAAGAGAACTGTATAGAGTATATCTTTGCTCTACAAACTATAGATTTGAACCAAACTTGTGTTGAACGTCTGTTCTCGTTTGCAAACATAAAATCGAAGTTCAAAATCCCTTAAATTCAATTTCAGTTGTTTTGTAAATTTAATTTATGAAAATTTACAATAACCTGAAGTCTCAAATTTTCAGTTTTCACATTTAAAAAAGAAATTACTGATGAGAATTTTACTACGGCTTCAACTTTCAGTTATATTTTCAAGGGTGTGGGTGTGAGTGGGTATGGATGTGGAGGCCAGTGTATCGATGAAGAGAAGAGGCCGGTTCACACCCACACCCACACCCAAATAGTTGCGAGTTGTTCGAGAATGATCTTATCCATATTTGGCCTATTTTGATCTCTCTGTTCTCCGATATAATTAGTATTCTCATTAGAAGTTGACTAAAGCATCAGTATTGGGCTCACTGTACATCGAGAGAGACAATAGTCCCTGTAAAAAATATTAGATCGAGCAATAAAGTTTTTTTTTTATTAACTAAATACTTGTCAACTTCTCCTTTGAATATCTGACTCCATATGCTGAGATGTGATTTCATCTATGATTCAGAAACGTAAAACATAAGCATTCATTTCCATCTAGTCTAGAGAAATATTTTAAACTAGGTTAGAACGAAGTGTCGACTTTGGAAGGTCATCAAATTGGAAACACAGCACACCGTGGCGGTTCTCATAAAAACTTAGAGAAAAAAACCATTTTCTGTAACTCCGCTAGGCGAAATCGAAACTTTTCTGATGTCGGATGGATCGTGTTCTTCTAACCTGTCGGACTAGTCTTGATTCATCAGAACTGATTTTTGAACAACTAACTAGGTATTTTTAAAGGAAAACTTCTTAGAATACATGTTTCTTTTCAAGTACTTTTTCAGCATAATCGGAAAAGTTTTCGTTTCATAAAAGGTTTGTTCACACATGTTTAAAACTAATGATACAATGTACCGATTCTTTTTCCCTGCATTTGATCCTGAAAACTGTAGGATTATTTCATTTATTTTAAAACTTGATGAAGTAAATGCTAGGATTACATTGTTTTTAGTTCTTTCTTAGATTTCATGATAAAAAAAAAATTGAAAATGTAGCTGCCGTTGTTGATTGAATCAAAAATAAAGCATTTACTATAGCTTTCGTCAATCAAAAGAAGTTTTTTTTGTGATTTTACTTGAATGATGACACTTAGGGGTCAAATGTTCTATATTATGTTCGAATTAGTTTTACCAACTTCGATGGATTTTAACAGTGAATATGTTGTCTCATTATGTGATGCTTTTACAAAGATGTATAAAAAAGAAGTGATGAAAAGAAAATCTTATCTAGAGATAAACAAACTCAGGACTTTTGCGTGCACTACTCGCTTTCAAAAATTTGGATTTTAAAGTACCATTTGTTGGTTGCTTAAAATAATGAGTAGATTTCCAAAAATATTCAAGTGTAGATTGCACATAATTAATTAAATTACTGTTCGATTCGATTACAGATAAGGTATGGAATTTTTTAGAATCGGAAATTGAGTTTTTTCTTTTAAAAATGATCGTTTGTGTATGGAACCAAAGTTTGTGAAATCGCTCTCGAACTCAGTCTCACATATCTTCAATCTTACTTTGCCTCTTTATGTCTGCCAGCAAAATAGACCTATGTTTAATTTGCTATAAGTCCAATTCGTTCGAAACTCTGATGTCGAATATTTTGCAAAATTTGATAAAAGTCCCAAAATCTAAAACTCCAGAAAAAAATGCATGTTTTTTCACTTTAAAGAGCTGTACTGTAAAGAAACACAAAATGATATTGTCATCTTGCCTGGAAACTTAGTTTCGACTCACATTTATGATGACTTCTTACATCATTTTGATGATATCATTTAAGTATAAATTCTTGCCCGATGTCGACTATCGTTTTCGATGCACTTCGGAACACAAGTGCATTCTTATGACTATAACTAATAGCGAATTACCGATGTGTGCCGATGGAGAAGATTGAAGCCCGCTGGTAGTTGTTGCGAATTCAAGGTATTTTCATCTCTCATTCTTATTAATCTGTGATGGTTTCGTCGACTATGAAAGTATTGATGGTCTTAACTACACAGATGAAATGGACTGTGAACAGTGGTCTTGTAACAATGTATATACGCGATGTAATAATGTTTGGAATTGTCGCAATGGAGCCGATGAAGCTAATTGTTCTTATAATCCATGTCGTCCAGATGGTCATCCTTGTCTATTATCACTTAGTCACAATTTGACTTGTTTGCCGCTCTCGCCAATCAATCATGGTCACATTGATTGTATAGGTGGTTATGACGAACGCGATCGTTGTGGATCAGCTTTGAGACCAAAGATGAGTATAAGCTATCGCTGTTTTAATGAAACACAGTGCATTTCTACGCGTAATATTTGTCATAAAAACGAAAACCACTGTTCATCGAGTGATAACCAAAGCCTATGGTGTACAGAAGTCTCAAATTCATCAAATAGGACAAATGCTGACGCTAGTTCTCAACTATCATACAATTATGATCGAAACTTCTACCTACAACATTTGTATTCGAGACTATACAAAAATAAGATTGTGCATTTGACACTGAAAAATCATTTCCACTATCCTCCTATTGAGACAATTACTAGCAAAGACGGTTCTAGCACAACAACAACAACTGCACACATTTTTCCTACTAATCAATTTAATGTCAACGATAATTCGAAATTGATAGATCATCGACTAAGTAGAATTTGTAAACGTGGAATTCTTATCTATGTAAATAATTTCACAGAAAACTATTGTTTATGTCCGCCAGTCTAATTTGGGTATCGATGTGAATATCAAAATCAACTAGTAAGTCTCATATTACAGTTTCGAGGGTGGGTGTGGGTGTAGGTGTGGGTTGGGTGTGGGTGTGGGTGTGGGTGTGGGTGTGGGCGTGTGGGTGTGGGTGTGGGTTTTTGTCTTCAGGACTCACATTCACACCCACATTCACACCCACATCCACACCCACACCCACCCACATTCACACCCACCCACACCCACACCCATCATTTTGAAATAAGATGTTGATCGCAAAAAATGACGAAAATCGCTATAATACCGATAAATACATTTTTGACGAGCAATACTAGCAGTATTAACCCGATTTCAATCACATATGTGTCAAATATAAACTCGGTTGAGTTAGATGATGAGTTGTGAATGACACAAAAAAATCCAGGTTATTTTTAAATTGTTCCTAATATTTATTTATGTTGATAGTTGCAAACTGATAGTTTCGAAGAAAAACAAAAACGTTATTGTTCATAAAGAAGCTGGCTCGTAATGTACAAGCCATTGGCTCATCTATGAGCTAAACACATACTGGGGTAGTAGTCACATTACAACTGGAACATTCTTTTAGAAGTATACCATAAGGTCGAATTGCTTTCTCATTAAATACTCGTAGTGCAAGACCAATACTGACAGGTCCTTGATGCTCTGTAAATTGATCATTTGCAACACGGCATTGAAATACAACTTGATATTCACGAATTGTTCACGATGACTCTTTTATTTCGAAGTTGCTAGCATATTCTGCGGCTCCTCCTTCACAATGCGTTGCCACATACAATCATTTTACATCCGGAATGGAAGGTCGCTGAAGTTTTGCTACATCTTTACACGCATCTGTGGTCACAAAGTCATGTTTGAGACCTCCCTTTACAATACTTTTTACTGCACCCGCTGCTGTGCCATGATAAGCAACTGACCATTCGCCTGGTGAATTGCTCATGCCCAACCAAACATGATTATTTGAATATTTATCATCGACTTTTAGTGCATGGCGATACCATCCTTGAGGAAAATAGTAAGGGCGTCCTCCTCGCATCTCTTCTTGAGCGTCGGGATAATCGCGATTGTATCGAGAATCAAGATCCGATTCTTGCAGTTCTAAAAAATTGATTGCTGTCTTCCACTGATATTCGTAATTTTCTTTAAACAAATATTGCAGAATGCTTTGACGACATTGCTTTGGCAAACTGTTTAATGCATGCTTTAATTGTTCTGCTAATTTAGTTGTTTTTTCTAGCTGCCGCGTTGTTATACCAATATCGACGTGTGCTGACGATGCTCGACTGACGGAAAACACTCGAATAAATTCTTTTTTACATCCAATCAGCGAGACAATATCGGTGATCAATGTGATCGTAAAGTTTTTGAATTTTTCAGCCGTTGAAATTAGATGGTCATAACTGAGGTTCAGATGTAGTCTAAAGTGGGCTGTTTGTACACTTCCTCCATCTCCAACAATCGAATGAATACTGCCAAGATTACCTATGCCACATGCCGTTCTATAGTCACTATTATCATATTGAAAAGCCTTCTCAGTAAAGCTGAGACGAGCACCGAGCTCTTCAGCAAGTTCATTAAGTACAACGATGAGTGTTTCCGTGTTGTCAGTGGTGGCAACAAAAGGTTCAGCAATAAAATCTATCATTTGATCTTTATTTTTCATCGAACGATAAGTGGATAAACATTGAAATGTGAGAACATCGGTTGGAGAGTCTTTATTGTAATGAACAGGTAAGCGTACTTTATCAGCATCGGGTGATTTGACCGGCTCGTACCATGCCGGTGTAACAACAAGACTCGTCGATTGGTCAGTAATTTTAATATCACCAATGGTCATTTCGGGCGAAGAAATAGGATGAGTTATAATCAAGTCGATTGGAGGCAACGTCGGAACTAAAAATGATTCCTTTTACACTGTCAGACCTACATTCAATTATGTAGTTAAATCGAACTATTGCAAGTACTGTGCCTCTTTTAAATTCATGCACAAATTATTTTCATTTTCTATGAAATTTTTTTGGCGTTCATTCGGCTTTTAACAACATACCTCGTCTGTACACTGGTCCAAATCTCCGATAGAAAAGGTAGAGTCCGAACAGAACCAATAGAATTAAGATGATTAATAGTAATTCGACAAGCATGGTCCTGCTAAAAACTCAGCTCTAATGAAGTTGACTATTACAATAAGTTGTGCTATACATACGTATTGGTTTTATTCACCAAATTGATAACGGTTGTGCTTCGTACAAGCGAAACTTTATTGTGACAAAGCAGCGTAATCGAAACTCTAATAAATTAAGTTAACATTAGATAGTAGCATGAAAAAGTGGCAATTAGCTGATTTTACACATTCTTTCTTGTTATTGCTGCGACCTCAAGGGGCAAACAGCGTGCTTCTGAACTACCTGGCACTTCTTTGTACTTCACGATGCTTCTCGATACCTCTAATTACTATTTCACTGGTGACGATGAAGGTGAGCACTGAATTTCGTGCCCTCGTTCTCAGCGGATTCCTTGTTCATGGATACCTTAAACTGATATTTCACAATCGATACTAATTGGTGCTTCTAAATACTTCTCTGTACTTCTGCACTTATGTGTACTTCTGAAGTAAGAAGTATGCTGCTTCCTCTCTGTACAATCCTTATAACGTGATTTAATGGAGACTAGTTTCTACATAAGAGGCATTTCACGTAAACCAGTGCCGATTCTGCACAGTCGATGATCGTCGATTTTGGTGGTTTTTATGTATGTTATCGGGGCAAGTGTTCAATGAACTTCTACGCAAGTCGTTTGAAATATATTGCTCCGTTCCTGAGCTATTAAAACTTTTCTGAGCGCACCATCATTCAAAACGATACTTTTTGCGATATTTTTGCATTTTTTGTGGCATGTATAATTATCTCTTCAAGGATACAACCGTTTTGCTTGAAATTTTCACTGTGAGTCCATCTCGAGTGTAAGTATTGCCATACAAAAATGAACTCAGATGGGTGAGCTATTGCATCAGCAGTATCACATATCCAGGACATTGGGGATGCTGGAGAAGTGTAGGAAGATGCGGGAGACGCCAAACTACCGAGTAAGAAATGACGCCATTATAATAGGTATATGCATAAAAACCGCGCATGTCCTGGAGAGACGTCGTATCTACAGGCACTTCTCATAGGGAGATGCCACATTTCCAGCATCGGCATCTCCCAATGAAAATTTTTTTTTTTGATTTCCAGCCTGGGACCCATTCGGAGGATGCCGAAAATAAAAATAACTGACCAGCCACGATGAGCAAGGAAATACAGACTCACATGAGAACACAAATGCAACCACTTCTCATTACTCTGGCTGAATCCGATCATACATACGAAATCTACGGAGACTATGCACCATATTCCTGGCTGAAGTGCTTGGAGATACGGTATCTCTCCGCAAGATTCACGGATGCTACGCATATACCTGTTACAATGGAAGCGTCTGTTTATAGATAGTTTGGCATTTTCCCCATCTCTCTACACTTCTCCAGCAGCTCTGATTTCCTTCATATGAGACACCTCTGCGTAACTACAGGTGTCATGTAAGCAGAAGCATTAAAAAAACGCTACTGCTTTTGCATTGGCATTAGAGTAATTAATGACAAGGTGTGAGCATTAGGTTAGATTTTTTTAAAATTGTAATGTATGAAGCCCATGTAGGTTATTGAGGGCTACCGGACATTCTACCTGCAGTATTTTAGATGCTAAAGAAACCACCTGGAACGATGCAGATACCGTCTAACAATGGAAGGTCGCGAACTGCCAGTGACAGAGATAGGACTTGTTCGAGTCAAATGAAAGCTCTCATCTTTAAAATATCAAATTTAAAATATTACGTGCCCATCGAATCTCTAGAGAAAGTTACTTAAATTTTAAGGTGTGTGAAATTTGGGTATAAAAACGAATCGCGAAAGATTTTCTCCACTATTGTAAGGGCAAAACATAGTGTTGTTCGGGTCATATGAAAAAGAGTCCATACAAACTCCATAATCGGCCCGAACAACACAATGCTTTGTCCTTACAATAGTGAAGAAAACGGGGTGGGGTGGGTGTGGGTGTGTGGATGTGGTTGTGTGGGTGTATGAGTGTGGCGGTGGCTGCGGGTATGGGTGTGTGGATGTGGTTGTGTGGGTGTGGGTGTGTGGCTGTGGGTGCGGCTGCGACTGTGGCGGTGGATGTGGCTGTGGATGTTCTCTGAATCAGCACCCACACTCACACTCACCCCACCCCGTTTTCTTCACTATTGTAAGGACAAAGCATTGTGTTGTTCGGGCCGATTATGGAGTTTGTATGGACTCTTTTTCATATGACCCGAACAACACTATGTTTCGCCCTTACAATAGTGGAGAAAATCTTTCGCGATTCGTTTTTATACCCAAATTTCACACACCTTAAAATTTAAGTAACTTTCTCTAGGGATTCTATGGGCACGTAATATTTTAAATTTGATATTTTAAAGATGAGAGCTTTCATTTGACCCGAACAAGTCCTATCTCTGTCACTGGCAGTTCGCGACCTTCCATTGTAAGATTGTAGAGACAGCACTTGAAATGCTACAGACACCAACGGAGATGCTACATACAGGCAGCATGTTCAGATAGCCTCTCAAAACTTACATAGAGTACATGTATTAGAATTAAAAATAATGCTAACTTAATGCTAACACCTCTGCATTAATTAACTCTAATGCTAATAATGCTGAAATATTAGTCTTAATGGTTAATGCTAATGTTGATGCTAAAGGGACATCCCTACACGTAACTGGCCTTTTATATATGCATCGTGGCGTGGGGGCGCGTGTCGGTCCCAGAAGAGTCATGACCCATACTCGTCTCTGTGCATCCAGTGAAGTCTATCTTTATTTTATGTTTTATAGTACTGAAAAGGACGTAAAGAAAAGGACGCAGAGAAAAGGACGTAGATACGTTACGTATAAATTCCGGCGTATAGAAAAAAATGCATAGAAAG